TAAAGTTCCAATTTAATAAAGCAGACATCTTAGCACATTTCTGTTAATCCCAAGTCTGGAAATAACATCAGAATTCCACCCAGTTAAAAGTTCATGATCTTGTCCCCACAACCACAATCCATCACATGGTCCAATCTTCTTCTTCCACGCTAGCACCTACGGCCAACTACTTCCGGTCAGGTGTAAAAGTACGGAGACAAAAGATGACCTTGAGCTTCTAGAAAGGAATGAAAACAATACATTCCACAATCCTACTCCTTCTATTCCCCCTTCCCATCAACTATACTAATGAAACAGTATAATAAGAGAAAGTGTGGCAGGCCAAAATTATAAAAGGAATATAATTGCAGGCCTGACATAAACATTAGCTGATAGTGTGCAGTAGCAATCATAAAAGCTTATACAATTGTATAAACAGAGGAATAGAATCAAAATCACATGAAATATCACTACCGCTTTATAAATCCTTAGTAAGGCCACTTCTGGGATATTGCATCCAGTTTTGGTCACCATATTACAAAAAAGAGATGTTGAGTTTTGGAAAAAGTGCAAATAAGATCAACAAAGATGATTAAGGGCCTGCAGGCAAAAACATATGAAGAACGGCTGTAGGAATTAGGTATGGCCAGACTAGAGAAAAGAAGGAGTAGGGTTGATGTGATTTATTTATTTTATTTATTTAGTTATTTAGTTTGTCACTCATGTACAAAATAACAGGAATGAGAATAAACATGAATAAGAAAGCAGGAAATGAGGACAGAAGGACGGGATGTTAGACACACTGGTGTGCTTATGCATTCCCCTACTGACCTCTTAGGAATGGGATGAGGTCAATAGTAGACCATTTAAGGTTAAAATTATGGGGGTTGAGGATGTAACAACAGATAGTGCAGTCCAGGGATTGACCACTCTGTTGCTGAAGTCGTATTTTCTGCAATCAAGTTTGGAGCGGTTTACATTGAGTTTATATCTAATGTGTGCTCATGTATTATTACGGTTGACATTATAGTAGTATTCTAGTATTTGAGAATACTATCATGAACAATATGCAGGGATCATATATTCTAGTCGAGAGAAAAGAAAGACTAGGGATGACATGATAGCAATGTTGCAGTATTTGGGATGCTGCCACAAAGAAGTGGGGGGGTCAAAGCACCAGAAGGCAAGACAAGAAACAATGGATGGAAACTAGGAGCCAAGGTGGCGCAGTGGTTAAATGCAGNATGCATGCATGCATGTATATTAAATAATGATATGATATAACCCTTGTGCTTGGATAACCTTTTTATTTATTCACTGTTGTTCAAATGACAGAAAAGTTAGCATAAAAACCAAGAGTTAAGAAAAATGCTACAATACAAAGGATAAATTTAGTCAAATCTGATTTTTCCTAATATGATTGTGAAAATGTAATTTTGAATGGACATATTGAACAAGAATCACTAAAGGATTTGTATAATCTTCATATACTGCTGCATTTTTAAGGTATTGTATTTACATGCCATTCTGTATCTCTTGTTTCCTTAGTAAACTTCAATACTGAATTTACACAGGGAAAAGTTCATTTTTTCCTCCCCCAAAAACATTATTTTGATTTTTTTTAAAGAAAAGTAAAATAATATGAGCCCTGTGCTTGGATACATTCTTCATTCTTTATTTTTTCAACACAACTGAAAATGAACTTGTGATACTATTTTGATCAGCTAAAAGTGATGGTGATATATTTCTGGCCATGATAAGAGAGTCTTCTTTAATGCAAAATGACAGCAATGTTGATCCCATGTTAATGGGAACCTGATTCTATTCCTGCAGGCATTCAGGAAACACTACATTTTCAACATGGTGCTTCAGTAAGACCTCGGCATATAAGAACCTTAAGAAATCGAAACCTTAAAGAGCCAATGGGGCGTAACGATTAAAATGTTGGAATCAAACTGGAAAGCCCCTGTTTATGGTCCATTTAGAGTCATAGAATGTCACTTGGTGACTCTGAGCCAGAAAGAAACCAGGAAAAATATGAAGAATGAATGACAGAAGGCAGAACAAATGAATAAGCAAACAGGGGGAACAGTTAACAGTGTGTTGGTAAAAAATACTGAAGACTTAATTTAGTATTTGACCACAATAACCTACACAGGGTGAAAAAGATTATCAGTCATTGGTAAATTAGAAGGAGTAGAACTTTGACAAATGATCCATTCTTCCTTTCATGCCTCCCTCACTCTCTCAATCACTCCTTCACTCCTTCCTTCCTTCCTTCCTTTTTTTCCTTCCTTTCTTCTGCAGGTTGGCAGTTGTATCCATGGAAATGAACTAGATGAACTAGGTCATTTACAAGGTGAGGGGAAAAAAAGGAAATCAACAAAAGATTTATCCTAGTATTGTTGTTGTAAAGTGCCAAACTCTTAGCAACGTACGCCTTGCTTTATCATCCATACAATATTACAAAGCTAAAATATCTGTACAGATTTAAACTACAACTGACATTTCTCCTTCTGTTTTTTTTTCCCCTAACTGAGTGCTTCATTCCAGAGGTGAAGTAGCGTCACCTCTTTTTCCTGTGTATTGACTGGAATTGCATTTTACTGCACTCACCAACTCATCGTATTCATTTGATGCTACAATGGGTAAGCTGCTGTTGATTCCATCTTCTAAGCTACCCAACCCCCTAGAAGAAAAAGAGTCAGAAAATTGAGGAAGATCTACACTGAACTTTTTAAGTTTAGTACCAGTTTGATCTAGTGGTTAAGGCATCAGGATAGAAAGCAGGAGACTGTGAAGTCAAGACCCACCTTAGGAGTGAAAGCCAGCTGGGTGACCTAGGACCAAATATTCCCTCTCAGACCAACCCATCTCAAAGGGCTGTTGCTGTGGAGACAATAGACGGTGGAAGGACTATTGTGTATGTTTGCTATTTATAAAAGTAATAAAGGAAGGGAAGGGAAAGGAAAGGGAAAAGGATGGAAGAAAGGAAGAGGGATGGAAGAAAGGAAAAGAAAGGAAGATGGATGGAGGAAAATAAAGGAAAGGAAGAGGTATGGAAGAAAGGAAATGAAATGAAAAAGGATGGAAGAAAAGAAAGGAAGAGGGATGGAAGAAAGGAAAAGAAAGGAAGATGGATGGAGGAAAGGAAAGGAAAGGAAAAAGGATGGAAGAAAGGAAAGGAAGAGGGATGGAAGAAAGGAAAGGAAAGGAAAAAGGATGGAAGAAAGGAAGAATGATGGAAGAAAGGAAAGGAAGAGGGATGGAAGAGAGGAAAGGAAAGGAAAAAGGATGGAAGAAAGGAAAGGAAGAGGGATAGAAGAGAGGAAAGGAAGAGGGATGGAAGAGAGGAAAGGAAAGGAAAAAGGATGGAAGAAAGGAAAGGAAGAGGGATAGAAGAGAGGAAAGGAAGAGGGATGGAAGAGAGGAAAGGAAAGGAAAAAGGATGGAAGAAAGGAAAGGATGGAAGAAAGGAAAGGAAAGGAAAGGAAGAGGGATGGAAGAAAGGAAAGGAAAGGAAAAAGGATGGAAGAAAGGAAAGGAAGAGGGATAGAAGAGAGGAAAGGAAGAGGGATGGAAGAGAGGAAAGGAAAGGAAAAAGGATG